AGAGATTCGATATAAAATTCCCTCATTTTCAAGTAATTGTGGAGATATTTTTGGGTTCGGATTAGTTTTTCCTTCAACAAAAATGATAGAAAAACGCCCATATGTCTTTTTTACACAAAATGGGAAACCGATTGGTAAGAAATTTAAAATATACAGTATACAAATAATTAACATTATCTCTAGTAATTAACCTTTCCAGAGGGGCGGGAAACAATTTGGGGGGGGGGGGGGGTATTTGGGGACTAAAAATCAAACGCAATAAGCGCAAGACTCAAAAATGGGAAATTTTTTAGCAATTGTTAGCCCCTGACTCGATACTTATAAATATATAAATATAATTAAAATTAGCCTTTCTAAAATAACTCAAATAATTACCCCGTCTCTATACCCTGTCTCAGAGATCAAATTACTGGGATAACTACGATATAACTATTCTTAATAACTTAATTAAGGTAAGGCAGTCTCATTGCAAGAAGAAGATGGTGATTCTTTTTATTTATACGCTGTTTTAAATTGCTGTTCTATAGAAGCAAATTTCGGAAATGATTTGAAGGCTAAGCCATTCTGTTATGATATCTCTAAACATTTATTTGTTGAGGAATTCTATAATTAAATGAATTTGTTTTTAATTATTATAAGGAGACCCAAAAGTTTTAATTTAATATCCCACCCTCTGCCCATATTTGAGTCTCAGATTAATTTTCCTTCTTTACTGCCAATCATTTATTTTTCCTCACTTTTTAATGACAATCATTTTTTCCTTCAAATATGGGACACCCAAAAGGGCGCGTAGACAAAAAGGCGCAAAGCCATAACTTACTTAAAGATTTTAGAACCTTACCAAAATTAATATTAAACGATTCCTCTCATCGAGCTAACAATAAATAGATTGATACCAAAAAATGACATGAGCCAAAAATATTACAGAAAGCTATGGCTTTTCGCCGTTATGGCTGCGCGCCCTTTTGGGCAAGAATAACACAAAAATATGTGGATTATTCAATTTTTATTTTCGATTTTTATTTGTTTATTTTTTATTCTTTGTTGTCTTTTTTGACAGGCATTACACATAAAATGTTCAGGATTTGAATGACTGTACCAATGTGACGTTTTTGTTGCTCCGCAAGTAAAACAATTTCGATCTTGAGTAATTCGCTAAAATAAATAATATTTAGTTAGGAGCATGTGACTTTTAAATATTATGCATTTAGAATTGAATAAGTTATATTATAGTTAGTCCCCAAGTTTTTGAGATATTTTTATATCGAATATCGACCGACCTCTCCAGCCGATCTCTAGTTCAAAGTTATTAAATTCGGGACGCCTTTTGATTCCTTTCGACCAGACAATAGCAGGGCATCCCGGATCCGAAAAGTTTGGTCGAAGTTATAGCCGGCGGTTTATTCACAGAGTTTTGAAATAAGACTTTTCAAAATCGTCCCAAATATGGATAATTGTAACCTTTTTCGGTTTATACAGCAATTTATTCGATCTAAGCTTTCCCAATTTTAGTTTATATTTGCCACATAGTCTGCAAAAGTTATGTTCTTTTAGGTAATTATACCAAAGTTCGGTTTGTATAACTCCACAACTGAAACAATGGCGTTTGTTTCTTTCATTAAGTTCACCTAAATATAATAAATAAATCAAAAATCAACATTTTAAAAATTTAATGACTTATTTTATTGCCAATGTAAATAATTCTGTTTTTTAATTCTTTCGAATATTCAACTTTTTGTTTTTCTAACAATTCAATTTTATATCCAATTAAATTAATTTCCGTCCAATAACTTGATAAAAGTCTGTTTTTATAAGATTCCATATTTTCCTTTAATACTTTTTTATTATCAAAACTTTCGTCTAATATTGAAGTTTCATAATAATTATTATTTTGCTTGATAAAATCATTATAACGGAGTACCTTAATTAGAAACAATTAATTTAGGTACGTATTATTTAAACCAGACTAGGACACGGATACTGATTTTGGTATCCTTATCAGGATATTTACGGCGGATACAGTCGGGCACAGACGGATATCCGCAGGCATTTCTACAATATCTGTATCCTTATCCATGTCCTAGTCTAATTTAAACGATATAGAGAAACTAAGTCGTCCGACATTTGACAGAATAACGGATAATCAAAATTAGGGAAAGATCGAGTTGGGTTGGTTGGTAGTTGTTAGTTGTTGTTGGTCTAGTTGGCCCCTAATCCCCTAAAATTTATTTTCGACAAGAACAAGCCCGACTTGAAAATGGCAACCCTAATGAAATTATAATATAACTACCCTCTTTCCAAATTGAGGCAAAATTCCTTGAATAATTTTATTTTCGGCTATTTCAATCACTACTTTCCTTTTTAATTGAAAAGTTGGATCAACTTCTGATTTATCAAATATTTCGACATTAAAAATAGTTCCACAAGGATTTAAACCAATTAAACGCAAAAATTTTTCTACATTACAATTATAGCTAATATCAAAGTGGTTTGCATTTTTTTCAATTGTTTTAACTACAAAACGCTCTTTTATTTCAAAATTTCTTAAATAATTAAATTCTCTTTTTTCTTCCCAATCATCTTTGATTTTCACCTCAACCTTTTTTCCATCGCATTGAACAATAAATTGAACAAATATGTTTAAGAGGACAATAAATTTAATCATCTAAAATTTTAAATTAAAAATATTGTGTAGACAAAGTCCAATTTCCCCAACATCCATAATGTAACAGTGTATCGAGTTACATAAGAAATTTATGTAATTTTAGGTATACCATTAGGGTTGCCAAAATGGCCCGACTCGGACCGAAACATCGATTTATATTTGGCCCGAAAAAGCCCGATTCGATAAAAATGAGACCCGAAAAAATGACTCAACCGTCGGCCCGACTCGAAAACGGCGACATTATATACCATATCAAAATTTCCCCGAAAATCCCCAAAATTTTTATTTTCTTTATCTCAAAAAGGAGAAATCAACTCGGATGATCTCAACAGAATTTAATTAGGATCATTAGCGATTCACACTTTAATTCTCTATAATATAATTTTTATTTAATCTTATTATCTCAATTTTGAATAATGTTATATTTCTAAAAAAAAATACGGGAACCTTAAAGCCACTCCGTATAATTAATTGATAGAACAAAAAGAATTTAATTTTTGTATTAATCTCATTAAAAAATTTAAGATTAAAGAGAATGTTAAGAAACTGAGATGACTTAACATTAAATAAGGTACAGAATTGTACAGACTAATCATAACCTTTGAGAAGCAATTTACTAAAGTAAAAGTGCAAATATGGCAAAATGTGAAATTTCTTTAGTGTTTTTCAAAGAAATATTAAAATAATTGAACAAATTTGAACAATTGTTCAAATTTGAACAACCTAAAGTAAGAAAACATTAATCAAAAATCATTAATTCGGCATTTAGAAAATATGGGGGGAAATATTAAGCATGAACAACCCTGCCTCGAAATTGAATCTAATATAACTAAAAGGCCTGATAGAAAATTAAAGGACTCATAAAATTAATATGAGATCCGGAAACAGGATCCGGCATTTTACAAATTTTAAAATATGATAAATAACTAAATATGCAATAGAATTCAGTTCGGATTTAAACTTTTGGCAAAAATTTCCAGAGAAATTTCCAGATTAGACCGACTCCTTCTAATAAACCGACCTTCTAGAGGAAGGTTGAAAAATAATTTTTCTAAAGATTCTTTTTTTTATATTTACACCAAATACAGGCATATATTTATTTAAGCATTTATTTGTTTACACTCAGTTCCAAAATTATAAGGTCACCTCTATTTTTTATCATATCTCATTGAAAAAGTATCGAAATTTTTTAAAATTTTTACATAATTTATATTTTTCTATTTAAAATCTTCCCTAAATAAATCAAATATGTAGTACATTTAAAAAAATTTTTATGACCAAAAAATCAAATTTAAAGTGTTCCATAATTATAAGGTCACCTTTGTTTTATAGGTTTCTAATAACGGGAAAAATCCACAAAAATTTTTGTGAACATATCTATTGATATGAATAGAAAATACAAAAGAAACGAATTTCTAGTGTACCTCCTTCATTGAAATCTTAAAACCCGAAAATCAACTGAAAACCGGGGTAGAAGTCTTTAAAAAATATTTTCGACACCTTACAGGTAAAATAAGAATTTTATTTTGGGCTTATTTGAGAGCCCTTGAAATTTGCTACAAGATAGCATTAATTTTATTTCCCGAAAAAAATTCAAGTGTAAGATCTAATGAGATAAACTTTCAGGTCATAGAAATCACTCAAACGCCCCCCAAAAAGCGATAAAAATGTAACTTGTGAACTAAACTCATTATTTCTCAAGTATGAATTTTTTCTGGATTATGAGATGAAAACTATCTTGTAGCAAATTTCAAGGGCTTTCAAATAAGCCTAAAATAAAATTTTTATTTTACCTGTAAGGTGTCGAAAATATTTTTCAAAAACGTCTACCCCGGTTTTCAGTTGATTTTCGGGTTTTAAGATTTCAATGAAGGAGGTACACTAGAAATTCGTTTCTTTTGTATTTTCTATTCATATCAATAGATATGTTCACAAAAATTTTTGTGGATTTTTCCCGCTATTAGAAACCTATAAAACAAAGGTGACCTTATAATTATGGAACACTTTAAATTTGATTTTTTGGTCATAAAAATTTTTTAAAATGTACTACATATTTGATTTATTTAGGGAAGATTTTAAATAGAAAAATATAAATTATGTAAAAATTTCAAAAAATTTCGATACTTTTTCAATGAGATATGATAAAAAATAGAGGTGACCTTATAATTTTGGAACTGAGTGTATAAAAAATTTTTGAAAATTTTTAAATTGATGAAAAATTATATTTTCTGATAAAATATAATAGGTAATATTTTAAGATAGATGCTAAAACTTTAAAATAGTATTTACTACACTTTCAATTAATCTAAATATTTAATTCAGTAATCTATTTCGCTTAATTTAATTTTTCAAAATGCAAATCGAATAATCTGTTAAAACCAAAAGTTGTATCAGATGCTCGAACGCCTAAATATTTTATTTAAAAAATAGAAGAATAAAGTTAAAATTTACGTTTAGCTGATGACTTTATAGGTGCACATTTATTTTGGACCAAGCAATCAACAACCGAGCTTTAATTTTAAAATTTTATTTTATTAAAGTATTCTAAATTTGATATTTAAAGCATGTTAGAAAAATAATAGAAGTATTCATTGGAGGGATATTTAGGGTACGGACTAGGGTACCCTTTTTTGTTTCCCTAGTACCTTACCTTATATGGAAATAATGATCAGACTTTCATCACTGTTCAATTTCGCTCTATTTCCCTGTGGCGAATTCATAGAAAAGAAAAACTTGGGAAGGAAAAATGGGAACCTTAATCCCGGAGTGATCCGATATTTCATGGAGAAATTAAACGGATATTAAGAATAATATTTAAATCCTTCTCATATTAAAAAATCTAGCCAGGACGGTCCGTTATTATCTTTTTGGTTTTTCGTTAAGAATAAAACATCTTAATTTATTTAAAACATATTATTTTATGATTAAAAAAATAATCTGTATATTTAAACTCCTACTCAAAGCACGAGCAGATACCAGCTTCACAATCATTTTTCGCTGAAGAACATTTAGAATACATTTTAGAGCACGGTTTTTCAATAGGATTTGTTGGGTAATTTTCTTTTGTACACGTTCCTGCAGCTACTAATGCTTTTAGACATGCAGGAAAATCAGTTTCTAGACATCTAAAATTTGTTAAATAATTTGATCATGAGATTTTTGAAAATTCCCCGCCCCCCCCCTTCCCGTGGCCCTGCCTCTCTGAAAACCTTTCTCGTGCCCCCCCCCCTTCCCCGTCGGGGACCTACCCCTACAAAATAAATTCTTAGTCTAGAAAATATTGAAGTGAGCTAAATCGCCAAGATATAGGTAACTTCGCTCAAAATTATAAAAAATTTAAAAACAATTTACAATTGAAAATAATTCAAAATATTATCAAAAATATTTAAATTAAATAACGGTCATCACAATATTTTATTTCCAATTATTTAATTAATCTCTAAATTAATTTACAAACTTGCAGTCTTTTTCGTAATCAGCTTCCATAGTACTGTCGCATTTTGGAATTGGAACTTTTTCGGCGTTTGTGAAATAACAAAAATTAATTAACAAAAATGGAAATAAAACAAAAAAATTCATTTTATTTTTAATTAAAAAATTTTTTTTTATTTATTTAATCAACTCTTTAAACTATTATTCTGCCTTTTTATAATAAAATGAAAAAAATATTGTTTACCAATTAATCAAAATGAAAATTATTTTTTTAAATTTAAATTTAAGTCTCGGTTTGGATAAAAATAAAGACAGGTTTTTAAAAGTACAAAATTAAACAATTTGGTAAATTAATTTTTTAAAATAAATTCTAATATGTAGGGTTGAATTTTTTTAACAGGGCCGACGTTCGAGAAATTTTTTCTGGCCCCATTTTTATCGAACCAAAAACCGACATTAAAAAATGTTAAAAATGCTGAACAAAAATCAATAATAAAGATCTACTAATTTGTGAAATAAGGTTTGAAGGTATATTAATTTTGAGGGAATCGTATATATCAGGTTCCTGGAGGGATTAAGGGGATTACGGAGTATGTTATGGAATTTGGATAATCTGGGTCATTATTATTTCCCTAATCTGGATCCGTACTATTATTTCCCTAAGAAACATCAAAATATGCATTAAAATTTGCATAAAAATATGCATTATTCAGCAAATTCCAAAATATGCATTATATGCAAATAGAACCTCCTTTAATGTTTTCAAAACACGCGGAAACTGTACATTTTGTGCATTATACATCATCCCAAGTTTACAAAAACTATAAAGCTACACAAAAAGCTTGACTCTAATATGTACATATTAATATCCCTGGATTTTAATATAGTAATATCACGTCAGATCCAATTGTCAAGATACATCAAACAGTCTGTCAACTTAATTAATTGACATTCAAAAATATGCGAAATTATTCAATGGATCTAGAATAATCTTCTTGTTTCAAGTTTAGTTATAGCTAGTCTAGAATAAAATAGATTATATTAAGCAAATTGAGCTCAATTATAACGAGAGTTAATACATACTGTGCTGTTCAAAAGTATAAGACCACTTGAAATAATGGTATTCATGGGATTTAATGATTTTCTATGCCTTTAAAAATTAAAAGTTGTAAAACTCAATTAAAGTTTCGTACTGCAAAACGAAACTTGGTGATATTGTAGCAAATTCAATGGGCTTTCAGAAAATTACAAAATTGAAATTACAGGCGTTTCCGCACCCTGGGAGTGGTATCATTCGACTGGTATATATTTGATATCGGTTTCAAACCGGCCACCGGCTAAAGTACAGCCTAAGTTACAGCTAAATATCATTATCGCCTCCATTAAAAATTAAAAAATCAAATTCACCCCCAATAGATTTAAAGAATTATTCCCTCCATTTCTCCCATTTTTTCCGTAAATCCATAAGAAATCGCTTGACTAAAAAGAGACCTCCAAAATCTTTGGTTAAATTCGGCGTTTCATTTTCATTATTTTCTCGGGCTTTCCGTCACCGTTTTGCGGTGCAAAAGTGAACAAATCCATTAAATATACAATCAATTTTGCTTTCAAAATTCCTTTTCTTTTTGCTTTCTTTCATTTTCATGAAATTAAAATCATTCAGACGCTTGAATGTGAAAATTTTTGTTAAGGATGGGGGATATTTTAAAACTCCAAAATTCAAAATTGGAAACAAGAGGAATATTGTTGCCAAAATGGAGCGACTCGGACCAAAAGATCGAGTCAGGCCTAAGATATTTGGCCCGAAAACGGCACTCAAAACAGCAACTCTAAAGAGAATGTCTGAAATTTAATTTTAATAGTCACCTGATTTAAAATATTCTGGGATCTGAACCTTTTGTCCAATCCATTCATCAAAGGAGATTGTCCGGTAGAAGAGTCGAATCATCTTGTTTACTTTTAACTAAAGTTGGCGGACCGGATATCTGGATCCGAAAAAAGGCCGAATATTCGGAAATTTTCGGATATCCAACTATACCCCTAACTACATATTTTGGAATCTATTTGTCTCCAAATTTTTGTAAAAATTTTTATCAAAGATTTCAGAGATTCTTTAAACTTCCTTTGTGTTTAACACAAAAATAATTTGAAGGAGAAAATTTTTACAAACTGAGAACACTTTTATCGACGATTCAGAAAAGTCATCGACTTTTAAAACATTAAATATTCCCGAATTCCTTTTCCTTTTCTTTCCTTAAATCCTTCTACATATTCACTTTTGCTTTCCCCATTCCAAAAAGAAAATCCATTTAAAATCCATTTATTCCTCCCCCCCCCCCCCCCCCCCCCAATTTTCTAACAGGATTTGCTCTCTTCTCTCCCTATTTTGATCTCCTTTTCCCTCATTCCATTTATTTTTCTTTTTAATTAAATAAATTAATTTTATTTGAAAGAGAATCTCTTCAATTATGCAATTAATAAATAAAAGATTAAATTCCCGATTTTTTGTGTTGAATGCCTTTATTTTTATATTTTTGCCTTCAATAAATTCACAATTCCTCAATTCTCAATTTTCTGATTCTTCCTCTTCCACCCTCAAAGTCGACCCATTAAGGAAGGTTTTTGGAATTTGGGGAAGGCTATTGAATCGAATGGCTCAACCAAGCCCTCCAACAGACGATGAACTTCATCTAAAGGTTTTTTGAAGGGAAAACAAAAAAAATTTTTTTTCTAATGTTTAAAGGGTTTACAAGAAGGTACCGAAGAAAATGACAATTTTATCGAAGAATCTGACTGGACTAGACGTATAGCAGGTGCTGGGGATGGAAGCAGGAAAGTGCCGGCTACTGGGGCTAATCGAATAATTGATGAAGCAAAGCTTAACCAGCTTCTTCCTAGACTGAATTCTCAAAGTCCAACAACTACTATTTCGACAACAACAGTCTCTACAACATCCACAACCCCTAAAAATGATAGTAGAGCGATAGAGGAAGCGACCACAATCAATTCAAAAAACGAAACCAAAATTGTAGCGGAGTCAGAATTAAACAATCAAAATGAATTAATTAATTCAACAATTCTGATTCCAAAATCAGAAGAGTTTAGAAAAAAGAAAACAAAGAAAAACAAAAGAAAAAGGCCTACAACAATTACTATATCTTTACTAAAACAAGCAGAAGGGGTTAATTCAGATGGTGAGTAAGGCTGGGTTTTTAGATTGTAAAATAATTATTTATGTAGATAAAAATCTGAAAATTTGCCTAGTTATTCATAATAGTGTTTACTAGCCTCTCTAAAAATTTTAGAATTTTTGGTTGATTATTCTGAAAGATATTGTAGAAATTAACCAATTTTCTCATATTCTCGAATTTTGGATTCTTGTTTCCCTAACTTGAGAAATTCTGAAAATTAAATTCTTGAATTTTTAGACACATTAGATACCCTCGTTAGGGACGTCTATGCAAATTTCTATTTCTCTAAGTAATCGCTAGGCTATTTTACGTGTCTTTAAGTGGCACTAGAATATTAAAAAAATTGACAAAAATTAATTTAAAAATGAACAATTTTTAGAAAATTCAACAAAAATAATTTCTCCGAAAATAGAAAATGAGAATAACACTCAAAAAACAACAAAAATTGAAATAGCTACAACAAATTTAGAAGGATTATTGAAGGAAGAAGAAAGATTGCTAGTTAATGGTTCCCCCCTCCGGGTAGACCAATCAAAATCTGTTAATTTTAATGAGACTGAATTAATTGGGATTGCTAAAATGGAAAATGAAACAGCTCAATTAATTGCGGCAATAGAAAATGTTCTGGCAGATGCGGAAGTTGGGCCAAATGCTGGAGGGTATTGGCTACACGAAGCTGCTACTGCTAGTACCTCTACAACACCAATGACTACAAAAACCTTGGAATATATTAATGAGACAACTACAAATATGTCAAAAAATACTTTTAATAATGGTATTGCTAAATATTTTTAAATTCAGATTTCAGTATTAACTAATTTTAATGTCCAAACTTAGTTTCAGATACAAATTTTGTTTAGTAGCTTTTTAAACGCACGATTTCTCTTTGCGCGCAAAGAGCTACTTTCATACGGTACTTTCTCTCATTCTTAGTTTTCGACAACTCAAGATTTAAATCTGATATTTTTGTGGTTTTGGTAGAAAAAGGAATAGGTAAAAATATTCTAGCCTTCATAAAACTGAATTTTGCAACATTATATGTAGACTAATATTGCTTTTATTCGTGTATCCTTCCACCACAGATTTTGATCATTAAAATATCATACTTTTTCTTAAGCTGAAATTCTATGTAAATTTTTCCGTAGTTATTCGAAAATATATTTCTACAGATAAATTGGACAACCTTAAAAACGAAAATAAAGAAATCAAAGAAAATTCAATCCAACAAAAATCAGGAAAAGAAGATACAAAGGAGGAGGAGGAAGAAGAATCAGAAGAAGACGAAGAAACCGAAGAAAATGATCAAGATATATTAGAAAATAAAGAAAATGTGTTAAATAATTCTACTAAAGAATTTAATAATTTAAAAACAAAAATAAACGATATTGGGGAAAATACTACAAAAAGTACAATATCAACTACAAAAATTATACCTGTAATTTCTGAAAAGTTTAGTAAAAAGAAGGAAGGAATAAAATATATTCCAGAAGCTGAAGAAGAAGAACAGGCTGGTTAGTTTGTTAATTCTTTTTACTCCGAGTAAAAAAAAACTAGTTCGAGCGGAACGTGTCCTCTCCAATAGGGTTTGTTGTTACGGATATCCGAGACCTGAAAAAGTACGGGTATCCGAAGATTCCCAGAAAACGCCAATCTAATCTTCATTCTAACCCTATTAGTTCGGCCGGTCATGTTTCTTCCAGCCAATTTTTTGTCGAATGGAACATGTCCTTTCCAGACCATTTTTCTTTTCAAATGAAACAAAAATTAATTATAAAAATTTTTTCTTTAAAATACTAGCTGATATTGCATCACTTCAACTTGATTCTGTCGCAGCTCCAGTCCCCGAATCATCCAACATTAGTATAATAAAAACGAGCTCTTCAATGCCAGAGACGAGTAAAACAGCTGTTCCCAATCTTTTCAATTTACCTGTAAGTGCATAAATGTTATAACTAAGGCTGTGATAGTTAGGCATATAAAATCAGTGAAATAGGCGCCTAAAATAGGCACCAAAAAGCCAAAAAAGGCACAAAAATAGGCATGTAAAAAAGGTTATCAGACCACAAGATGGATATAAAAACAAAAAAATAACCATTTAATCGTCATTTTTTAAATTATAAACTATTTATTAAACTATTTTGCCATCTATTCGGCATTTTGAATCATTTTTTGAAAAAATGGAGTAATTTTTTAAAAAATTCCGATAATTGACAAAAGGGAAATACCGCCCAACCCACAAAACGTCCCACTCCAAAACGTCACACCACTAAAACGTCTAATCTCAAAATGTCCAACAGAGTAAAAATACTCAATTTGTCGAACTATACACTAAAAATGGGAGTTGGCACTGATTTTTTGTAGATTCAGACTGATTTTTTTAGATTTTTCACTTATTTTTAGGCAAAATTTAGGAAAAACCGCTAAAAAAGGCAAAAATAGTACCGAAAATTACAAAATAGGCAAAAAGGCTCAAAAAGTCCAAAATAGGCAGAAATAGGCAAAATAAAAGTGATGCTAGACATATCGGACCAAGCTAAAAACACGTTTTTTGAACGTATTACATCAAGCCAAGCTTGCAGAAAAAATAGGCATTTGCCTATAAATCACAGCCTTAGTTATAACTTATCTCGACATTACGAATAATGATTTCAATGCGGCATTAACATAAATTTAGCGTGTACCTTTTGGGAGTACTGTGTGGTGCGTGAGGTACATGTTCCTTACACACTATACCTCATGTGGAGAAAGGTTATGCCTGTGAAGGAAGGCACAACCTTTCTGACATATCAATTCTTCCTAGCAGAGGTGGGTCGGAACAGTCAGAGGTGTTGGAAATCGGAAGAGCCGGAAATCGGAACTGGCGAAAAGTCGGAACTCTGAAATCGCAAATTAAAATTTTTTCGGAAATCGGAATGAAAAAAACGCCGGAAATCGGAATTCCGACCCACCTCTGCTTCCTAGTAGTATATCACAAAGATAAGTGAAGGAGGATAAGTTAAGGGTCAAAGCTTCATTAATTTTTTATTTTAATTTTACTTGTCCCTATTTAATTTAGAACAATTCAACAATGCCAAACTTTTCAACTATGATTAAGCCTGTTAATTCAATTATTGATGGTATTGGCCCTCTAATATTGCCTTTAATTGGTTATAGCAGACAAGCACTAGATTCATATTCTTTAAATAATAATTTGTTGCCTGGTGTGCCTTCAGTGAGACAACAAAGTGGTTAGTGAATAAATTAACTTTTTTAAATTTAATTAAATACACCCTCTCATTAATGAAAAGATAAATTTATACGATACTGAAGACATTTCTACCAATCTTAAACTTTGTGCCTAGAGTGGTAAACCTCTAAGGGGCTAAATCAGTCTCATAAAATAGTGGCAAGTTTGACAGGGCCTGATCTCTTTAGATCGCTCAATTCGTTTGTCACTTCTAAACTCTCTCTCTCAAAAAACTGGAGAAGAAAATAATTTATCAATTCTGTATTAAGTAGACATTGCCGCAAGAGTTTATTTTTTGAGCTTATTATAAGCCCAATCCTAAGGATTTTTGAACTTATAAAACCTGTATTCCAAAGAAGAAATATTAATCTCTAAAAATTCTTTTAAAAGAAATACGTTCATCCCCTCAATCATCTCAACAACAACAACCAAAACAACAAAGAAGCTTAATCGAAGAAATATTATCACGCCCATTTGCTTCCCCGCTTTTTGCTTCTCCTTTTGTTACTCAACAAAATGAAGAAGAAAAACAAGTAAAAGAACAACAACAACAATCATTATTAGCTTCTGAACCTCCAAGCCTTGAATTGTTAGATAAAATTGTTGAACAGAGAAGACAGAGGGAAAATGTTGCAAATGAATTAATGATGAAACGATTGAGAGAAGTAAAGGGAATTTTGATAAATTAAAAGACACTCAAACACTCAAAATTAGAGATCGGACCGAGACGAGATACAGAAAAAGCTTGGTTATCAAGAGAGATATTTTTCGATATAATGATTCTCGTAAGACACTCCAGACCTGTGCCTACCCAACACCCGGTACATTTATGATAGGTTTTTAGCTTAGGTTGGCCATTGAGTGAGAGAGGAGCTTCCTATCTTATATTAATGATAGAAGATACTAAAATAGGGATAAGATAGCCCCAAGAGAGCATCCAAAAATGGGGTTTGATTGTACTATATGGAGAGAAAGTCCACAAGATTACAAAATTGATATTATATGTGTATATTTGGATATTTAATCCGAATTAATAGGCTTTAATTAGTTAATAGAGAAAATATTCTTCCCCTTAATTTTATTCAAAAATTCAAAGTAATTTTTTTGAGTTAGGTAACTTTAATTTAATTCAGAATAAAGTAGTCGAGCAGAATACTATAACAATGCCTCAAACAACAACAATCATGGCTGTTCCACCCTCTGATAGCGGGTATGATAATGGACGTAGAGTTGTTCTCGACAAGTTTCATGAGGACAGTGGTGAGAACTTTGAAAATTTTTCAATATTAGAGACTTTCAATATAAGAGACATTTCTTTGATTATTAGTTGATTGTTTGATTTGACTAGTAGATAGTTGAGCATAATGTTTCACACAGTGAGTAGAGTGCACGTCCCTTTCGTACGACAACTAGTGCGAAGGGAACATTACTTTATCTATAGTGTTTACGAATTTTAAAATTTTATTTTTTCCGACATGTTTTATAACTGAATCTTAATTTAAAAAAATTAATTTCCAAGGATTAATAAGAAAAAGCGAACAAGGACAAAAAGCACAACCTTTAGAGAGCCAAGGACCTCCACCTTCAGCACAACGCCCTCAAGGATTTGGAGGTGGTAAGAGACCGAACAGTATATCCTCCCCCTTCCGATTTTTATCAAGTAAATAAATTAAATTACCTATTTATTATTGTATAATATATTTAAAATTATCTTAAAAAATATTTATATGTAAATAAAAAGATTATGCCAGAATAAATAAAAATTGTTTAATTTAATAAAAATTATTATTTATGGGGAAGAGAAAACACTTGATTTTTAACGAAATGAGAATAAATATTCATGATTGAAGTAAAAAAGAACATCTCATGTCATGTAATTGAATAAACAGCTCTGTGAAATAAACTAAACATGAACTAATTTTAACAGACATGTAGGTTAGCTTTAATAAAAAAGACTCGGGACTGAAATGGCCATACTACTAGAATGTCCACTACCCATGAAAAAGTGGTAACAGTTGTTACTCTTTGTGTGGACAAAGCATAGAATTATTGACTTGCTTTATATTTCTAGGACTATTCTTTAAATAAGCTTGCACATTCTCTTTATTTTATACATACAGCTTGCAAAAAAATTATTTTTTCTAATCACTTATACATTCAAGCATGTCAAAATTAAATTCTATTATAGTAAAGCAGCTGGGCTATAGCTATTTCTCTCCTTTAGCTAGAGCAAAAGGTTATTCGGCGGCTGGGAGCGAACCAGCATCTTCAGTAGACCGGACTGATGTGTTAGCCATTACACCACGCCGCCTACTGCTCAGCCTTGGGAAATTAATAGCTATATGCTTTACACCTCCATCCCCAGGGAAGACTGTCCCTAGTCTTCTTATCTGCCCTCTTCCCGCTTTTTCTCTCACCTGCGGGGTAGCTTAATCATCGCCTTCTCTGGCGGAATTTCCTTTTCTCTAACCCAGGGCCTATGGGATGGATCGTCATTCGTTCAGCGTTCGCTGAACCATCCGGTGCTACCAGTAAAGCAGCTGGGCTATAGCTATTTCTCTCCTTTAGCTAGAGCAAAAGGTTATTCGGCGGCTGGGAGCGAACCAGCATCTTCAGTAGACCGGACTGATGTGTTAGCCATTACACCACGCCGCCTACTGCTCAGCCTTAGGAAATTAATAGCTATATGCTTTACATTATTTTATTTACAAAATTTATTTGATAAAATTAACTTAGTTTTTAATTAAATTTTTATATTTATATCAAGCAAAAAGTAGATAAATCTTGCAAATTTTTAACAAATATTTCCTAAGATAGTTTAAAATTATTTAAAATTTTAGTGTTTCGTGTGACAATATGTTGATCACTTGGGATCAGACTTTTGTTAGAGCATTGCTTCATCTGATGATAAAGGTGATGATAAAATTTTTTAATAATTAAAACAAAGAAATTAATAAACAATTAAATTAGATATAGTCGGATCTATGGTGTACTGTCTTGAGCTGTTCGCTAGTCGGATCTTAGTTGTACAGTAACTATCTAATTTAGTCCCCTCATGCATAATTTTAAAATCTGGTTGAACCCTGGGAGAACCTGATCTAAACATGAAAGAACACATCTGTTTTGTATACGACCTCATTTTCTTGTTATAAATTATTTTCAAAGATTAATTTATCAACATTAATTTTTAAAGCTATATTTTTAAAGAATAATTTATTTTAAATTTTCAGATTTGCGGACTGCTTTCGCAGTCCTTTCCAAAATTTAGAAGCTAGACGACCAAGCCTATAACCTTGCACGACGAAGCATGTGCTCTGACCTCATGCGACGTCGCCGCTCACGCCTCGCAAGTTCTTGTCTGCGGTATCGTGAGCGCCGTACTCCGTCCCTCACTGCAAAATACACCAACTGGAGTACGGGCAAAAAGCATCCAATATTTCGAGTATTAGTGTTCATGTGTACTAAATCTGGTTTTCCAGGTAAATTAGGTTAAATTAAAATTATTTAAATCATATTTTATTTGAATTAATTAATACTTTGTAAAAATATAACAGTTTACATTGTTTATTAATTATTTTATATTTGAAATAATTAATACGATGTAAAACTATAAGTTTAGTTTATTAGTTATATTATAGTTGAAATAATTAATACTTTGTAAAATCTTTAATTTAGGAAACGCATATCATCAATGATTCAAGTAAATTTTAAATTTAATTATAATTTAATTTTTAAATTTGCAAGATTTTTCTATTGTGTATTTTAGAGATCTATTTTTGATTTTTATTTAAGATTAAAACTTATTTATTAAATTAATTTACTATTGATATATTCTAAAAATTAAATTTAAGACCATGATTTTGTCCATACTTAAGGTATGGACAATTGACCTAATTTTAGATTTTGAGCTTATTAGGGACGTCTTTATTGTAAATGTTTATTTTATCACATCTTTATTAGAAGCTCAATTATGTCTGATAGTTCGAACGTAGCTGAATTTTTTTATTTTTTAAAATATTTTATAAATAATTTATCAATACAAAGCATCTACTACATCCATAAATCTGATTTCTACAAAAATTTTTATCCGCTCTAGCGGAATCCTCCCTTTTTTCTGCTGAATTTTTATTCTAAGAATTGCCACAAGAGTTTTTCGATAAAAATACAGAAATGGAGACCGTTTCAAAATTATAAACCACCTTACATCTTGATGTTACTTTTAATTAACTGCGAAAACGAATCAAAAATTTCTTCAAAATATTTCTACAAAGTATTTTTACGATAAATTTTCGAAAAATTCGGCGTTTCAAATTAAACACCACCTCCTGTTAACGTACTAGAAATGCTATGTAGTTTCTATTTTTTTAGTCATAATTTAAAAAAAGATAAATAAATTATAAAAAACATTTAAAGTAAGCTTACGAAAATTTTCCTATACTATAACCTTACTTACAAGCATATGTAGAAAAATATAAAATACTTGCATAAAATTTCAGAAAAAATTTCAAAAAATAAATTTTAAATGCATTAATGATAAAATGGAAATGTATTTAAAAATAATTTTTATAAATTTTTAATTTTGTTAATAATCATTATAATCTCCTTCAATGTTTTGATAAGAATTCGGAGCACAATAAAATTTGCCATAAGCGATGAAGTTAAAATATAAATGAGATGGTAATTTACTGTAGAACCTTAATTTTAGAGACACTGACAACAATATCCACCTAAATTTAAGATATATAATTTAATTTAATTGTCAAATTTGTGGAGACGCTTAGGCAATACCTATTATTTTAGACACACCAAATTATAACATAACCTTTTCCAGTCCCAAGGACATAAATATTTATAAGTAAGGTCCGATTGTTTTTTTTGTTTCTTAATTTCACATTGTAAAAAATTTTTCAAGCAGAAGGCAAAAATTAAATGGTAGCCCCCAACACTCCCACACCCTTTCTCCTTTTTACTTTCTTTTCTCTCAATGATTAAAAAATGTTCAGGGACTAATTAAATTATTAAATAAGTAAAGCTCAATTACATATCAACGCGGCAAAAATATTCATTAATTTCTGTAAGGCCAGGAATTTTTATTATTAAAATAATTATTCTTTCTTGAATGATTACGTTGTCTGTTGATTTCCCGTTCATCTCGTTCCCTTATTCCTTGATATTTTTTAATAATTTTATTTGGAACAGTTTCAGGGAACCAATCAGTAGAACGTCGACGTTGATAAAAGAGCATGTAAGTACAATCCGATTCACAAATTTCGATTTGAGATTTTTCTGAAACACAATTGTCATCAAATAAACGCCATTTTCCATCAATTAAATTACGAGTAGCTGCGGTGTAATGACCTTTAAATTAATTTTTAAAAATAATTCCAGTGCTTTTTGGTTTTGAGAAATTGGTTTTGAGAAAAAAAGGGAATTGTAGAATTGTCAAATTTATGGAATGCCAGAATTCTATAAGGATGACGTGAGGGGTTAGTCTCCCAAGAGAAGATGCTTGAAAATTAAGACCATCACTCATTTTTCAATACTTCCAATGGTTATATCCAGTGCTTGGACGCTCGTACCAAAATTCGTACTCATACGAGTACTTAACTCCGAACTACGAGTACGAGCAAATCTTAAATTTCCAAGCACTTGTTATATGTATGTATCCTAAGGTCCTGGCTGACTACTTGACTCCCCCTTTTCCATCCATTCCTAGCTGGATAAAGGTTACAATAAAACATACCTGAGTTAAATTGAAATCCATGATGATATATTACACAAGTCAAATCATATTTATTTTCATCGATACAATAAGTGCTCATATCAAGCTCTTCAGGATTATTAACAAATTTAACATTCTTTATTGTTCCTCTTCCAGACTAAAATAATAAAAGTGAATTTATTAAAGACTTGTATTTGGGGGGGGGGGGGTTAAATAAGACAAAGTATCTAGTCCTTTAGCTATAGAACACATAAAGTAATTGTTTTTTAAGTTGACTGATCAGTAGACCTAAGCAATACCCACTATTTTAAATAGGTATGCATACTGATAAGATACAAATATCTCAACCCTAACTGTGTACACTATGTGAGATCCGATTTATTTTAATTATTTAATTTAATTCAGACTGGGTAATGGATATGGATACAGATAACTTCAAAATGCCTGTGGATATCCTGTCCGGATACCAAAATCCATGTCCACTATCAAGTCTGATTTAATTACCTGATTAAAACGTTTAAGGTAAAACACTAGAATATCAGGCAAATTAACGAATTTAATTTGCATTGCCCCAGAGAGATTCTTACATTCTGGGCAGTTCCAGCCTTGTATAGGTTCTGTCAATAAAAATGAATTTATAATAAATTTTAATTAAAAACATACCAGATTTAACAAAATTATCAAGCATCGTAATTAAAGAAACTTGGTTTTGTTTTGAATTTTTATTGAATTTATTCTGTAACGAATCATTTTCATTTATTTGTTCTTTCTTTGTTTTATACTTATTTTTAAATTCTTTTTTTAAAGACATATCCCATTCAACATTTAGATGAATAACTTTTTTCGTAATTTTTTCATCATTAAAAATTCTTAAAAATTTATTAAATTAATATTTATAAATTTCCAGAATATCTAATAAATCCTAATATGTATAGGTTCTTCATTACAGACCGATAGTGCGGGTGTGACATAACTCAGGGTGAAAATTTTGGTGTTTTTAAGACTATCTCGAAGAGCTCTTTCGAATGAGCTGATATTTACACATTTGAATTTTCATCCCAAAGTTGAGCTTACTTCCCCTCTATGGTTTTCCAACCTTTCGAGTACAAAATATACATAATAACTCGATACATTATCATTTCCTAAAGTAGCATAGGAAATGATCTTTTGAAATGATCCCGAACTTTTACCACCGGTACACTACGCTATATTTAAAATATTTTACTTGTCCACATAGCTATTAGAAAAAGGTCGCATCGCTGTAGGGTTATAATGCTTGTTAGTCTGTGAACAATAAACATTTCCATCAGAATTTTGTAAAGAATAAAGGGGAAATCCATCAAAATTTAGCAAAATAATTTTAAAATCATAATTTATATTGCAAAAATGTCTTGGAAGAAGAAAAGCTCCATCCCTCATCAAATCAAAACATAACTTATCATATTTCATATCTCTGAACAAAAAAGACAGATAAGGCTCTCCAAAACTAAAAAAAATTTTCAAAATTATTTTTTAAAATGTTTCTTATTTCAAATTTACATTTTTCCATCAAAAACATAATTAACTATAGCAATAATTAACTTTTGTTCATGCTGTTTATTTTCTCCGGGTATTTCAAAAATTGTGAATTCATTTAATTGATCATAACTTTCAAGAACTACATTATCCGGAACTAAATATGATTGCCCATCTGTTTCGATTTTACATGCAATCATCTAAAAATTTTAAATTTTATTTTTAATGCCTAAATAGGATTTGATTAAGGATCTTGGCAAAATAAATTTCCGATTTTGGGAATTCCGACCCGAGACTGGGGGAATTTCCGATGTTCAGGAATCGGGACAGTATGATACGTCATATACGTCATATTCGTCATCATACGTCATATTCCATGTTGGGCAAATTAATACTGTGCTTACTAAGGTTGGCGAATCCGAAAAAAAGGACCGGATATCCAAAAATTTTCGTTGAATTTCTTCCGCAACTCTTTTATGTAAGCACAGCATAACACGAAAAAAAATTTCTAAACAAACATTTAATGGCTTGATTTTCATATTTTTTTCTATTGCTTCCATTATATCCTTAACAGTTATTCCAGATTCAGAAATGTCAAAATGGAAACGAGTGATTTTACGTGGATTCATACAAATAAATTTTACAGTATATTTACGTGGTCTAAAAATATCAAATTTTTTGCAAGATTAAATTCAAATTTACAAAGGAACGCTGAGTGAAACAGACAAAAAGGGTTCAGTTGAGGTGTCAACAAAATTGCAAGTTGGAGTAGTACATTTTATTTCATGACGAAATTGGCCTCTAAACAATTTTTAAAATTTTAAAATAAGTAAGGTATGTGGGTCTAGATATGCGGGGCTAGTCTTAGTTATCTTTCTTTGCCGCTAAGCCGAGCGTTGAATCTTGCCCTTGACTATTCTTGCTTAACTTGTATTTACTTTTGTGATAAACTATTCTTTGGTTTATTCTGGTTGTCCCAGGCTAACCCTAAAATTATAACAGCAAGTGTTATTCATTTAATTTTGCTCGAGCAATTTGTTATGTGACTTTTAAACCAACGGTGATTCGCATTTATCGCTCGACCCATTGATATTTTTTGTCTTCTGGGATTTTTAAAAGGATTTGGAGGTAAAAAAGAAAATCAAAAAAAAATTAAAAACTTACTGAAATAATTTTAAAAATGTAGATTTTGCTTCTTCATTATTTTTATAAATTTTAACATGTGGGTCAAAGCTCGAACCTTTACCAAAATTACCATCCAAATTAAAATCCAAGATTTCTCGATTAAGTTTATTTAATAACCAAATCATACATTCATGAGTATCCTATTAAAATATTTTAAAAATAATTTTTAAAAAATTCAAAACATGTTGATAGCCAACGCAAAATGCTGGATTTTCATGGGCAATAGAATGAATAGTTTTATGACAATAATAATCAACATAGTAATTATGATTGAACCACATATAACGAATCGTTTTGAGAAATAAGTCGAAAATACCATGCTTAAAATTAAAATAATAATTTTTAATACTTACAAGGAACCATCTTTTACTGTCACCATTAGCGTTGTCGGTTCTTGAAAAATTTTAGGATATCTGGAACCAAATCGATATCCGAATCGAAAAATCATCGGCTCCTCGGTTCGGTCCAAAACCGACAACCCTAGTCACCACAATCTTGATCATTGAATGCCCATAACTCGGCCCAAAGTAATTTTACAATAAAACAGATATCACTTTGCAATATCAAGTCTGAGGTCCTCTATCGAATGGTATCAAAGAAAATATCAAATTCGAGATGATAGTAAAAGATGATTCCTTGTCAGTGGGATTTTTTATTTTAATAAAATTTAAAGATGTTTTTACCTCCCTATTATCCTCATCAAAATCTTTGCAAAGTAAAAATTCAGCAAGACGGTCACAGCCAGCAAGGCTCTGCATTAAAGCATTAAAATAACAAGTGTTTCCATGATTTTTAAGTCCTAATTTAGAATGAATAGTTAAAATCATTTTGTTATTAAAGACCTTTTAAGCATGGAATTCCAGGTGGTTTTGGAACAAATTCTTTTTCATAAGTATTTTCAGAGGAGTGAGTTGTCATTGTGTGTTCGTTTTCGTTTCCATAATAGTTAGTAGATACCACTTGATTATTTCCAAAAATATTTTGATCAGGACGGCATAATTCGGATTTGGACCCATTACAAGAATTCCCAGCCTTTTGGGGATTTTTATGATTAAAATTTGAGTTTTTATCAAAATCCATTCCAGAATTAATTTGTTCAGAAGGGCGTGTTGTTGTCACTGTGTCTAAAAGTTCCACACCATTTGAATTAGTATTCTTGTGGTTTCTCTCACGTTTAGAAGCAGGTAATTGGTATGACCCATACTCACTCGAATGTGTTTGAAATTGTGATCTCATAGAATACCCACTCTTCTTTTGAGATCCTTTTGGTGGCGTAGCAGAACGATGTTCGTTAGTATTATTTGCAGAAACCATTTCAATATCTCCATTCTGATAAGTTTCTCCAGATGTCGGGTTTAAATTTAAAGAGGAATTCGATGGATGTTTGATAAGAGAAACAACCTCAGACTTCTTTCCTGTGATAAATTAAAGTAGGCTATTGTTTTATGGAAAAAGGGATAATGGAAAGATTTAGAACCTGAATTATTTGCTTGATGATTATAAGACATAGAACCAGAATTTTTTCTTGGGCCAAAGAGTTTGACAGGTGACTTCTTATTGTCTAAAGAACCTTAAATCGAATTAAATTTTTTAATTAACAAGGATAAGATACGTATACATATCAACCAAAATCTTGGCTATGAAAAGTATTTAATTAAAAATTTTTGAGGATATTTTTCGATAAATTGTGAATTCTAAATGCAAATTTAAATAATTTAGTTTTAACAAAGATTCTAGGCAAAAACACACTATGTATTTTTAAAGAAGTGTGCCGAAATGTTTTAAAAAAATAAATTTAGAAGATGAAACTCGAATATAAAAAATAAAGGGCAAAAAATATTAAATTAAAAATATGAGGGATTAAATAAAAGGCGATACTCCTGCTTGCTTAATATTCGGAATAAAAATATAAATTAGGAACAATAAAATTACCATTTGATGCTGACAATTTATCAGAATTCCGTTTAATATTATTGTTTAAGCTAGAGTTATCTGAATAATTGAGTATGTCAAGATCAGAAGCATTTGATGAATTATCAATGGAATTTAAAAGTTTCATTTTAACATTGAAAACTTCTAATGCTATTTCAAAGTCCTCTTGACTTTTAAATTGTGAACGAAAGGGAAAGTCCATAGTCCCGGACATGTCAATAAAAAATTAATCTAAACAATATAAATAATAAATTGCATTAAGTATTTCCATTCCTATCAGTTTTAAAATAATGGAAGTTCTACGGTTCCGGTTCTGCGATAACAAATCTAATATGGGTCTTTCAAAAAGTTTTCCTTCATTTGATATTTTTAATAATAGCTAGCCATTTTTAATATTCTACAAGACAGACGATACTTAGTTCAAAATATGTATAATATCGAAAAACTAATACATAGAATATCTTGGCTTCTTTCTACGAAATATAAATATTTACAGTCAATTTTATCATAAATATTTATGGGTTCTCACTTAAACACCGCCCACCAGTGCTGGGTATAGCCCCGGAGCCCGGGTCCGGAGCTAAGATTTTGGAAACCCCGGAGCCGGAGCTGGAGCCAAGAATTTGAAAGCCCGGAGCCGGAGCCAACAAATGGCAAATACCCAGCACTGCCGCCCGCCTAGAGACATAAATTTTTAAATGACTATTGAATGCTCTCATAAAGTTCGGATTATATTTAAATTTTATAAAGTATAAATAAAAAATATTAAAAAAAAATAAAGTTTGTGAAAATGAGAAATTTTATTTAAATAATTTTACTTTAAATAACGTTAGTCTCATATGTATGTAGATTGCCTGTCTGAAAAAATATTTTCAGGTCGACGTTAAACTATAAAGAATGTCACAGAGGGAATAAAAATAATCTTTTCTCAATAAATAGAGGAAAAATATTTAAAACTGTTTGAACTTGATGACCCACATATACAAGGCTCCTCCTTATTTTTGAATAGAAACCGACGAAGGTAACGGAAATTGGAACTGTCGTAAATTGGAAATTAGACTAAATTTTTTAAGTCGGAAATGCCAAACGGCTCCACGGAAAAAATGAATCTAGTGTATAATTATAACCTAAATTCAAAATTAAGGTATAATTTCAGAATACAAAGGGAACGATGTTAGTACAAATTATATATCATTTGAGAGAGTTTGTCGAACCTTTTTATCAACAAAATTTTTTATTTTTTTACAACTCTAATAAGAGGATCCGAAGGGATTAAAGGTGATAATGAGGGAGTTAGCCGGATTAAGGGGATATCGGTGGATTTGGAGGGATATCGAGGGATAAGATGGATATCTGTGTATCAGGCAATTAAAGGCTGCCGAATAATTTAAAAATAAATATAAAGTAAAAAAATTTATTTTAATAAAATTAATATTCTAAAATTGCCTACATATTTAAAATATTTCTAAAAATATCAAAACAAAAATGAATTTAAATACAAAAAATTATTTAAATGGATAAATATAGACAAAAAATTTTTTTTTAAGTTTATAAATATTCATGCTCTAAAAATGCTTATAAAAAGGTTTTTTAAAAGTGCTTTTCAAAAACTTTTTAAAAAATATTTTTAAAAATTATACATAAAAAATGTTATTAAAAAATAAAATTAAAATTATTTTCTGTTTGTTTTTAATTTTTAATTTAAATGAAAGTAACCAGCAATGTGAATGTAAACCTGAATTTGAGATAGTAAAACCTGATAAAGTAGAAGGACCTTTAACACAAGACTTTCAAGAATGGCTTGCTCAGTAAATACCTATATTAAATAATGCCCCCTCCCATTATGTAGACCGAGGCTTTAATTGGGACATTTAAAGTCTGTTCCAAAATCATAAACGCACCCCGATTTTTCTCAATAGTTCAAGTTCCAGTCAATTTTTCTAAAAGATTTTTTTAATTGTCATAAAGGACCAAGGGATATATAGGACCTATATTATAAAAAAATTAAATAATTTAACGTCAGCAAATTTAAAAATCCGTTTCAGTATTAAATATTGTTTATCCCATGGTCCTATATGACAATTAAAAAAATCTTTTAGAAAAATTGACTGGAACTTGAAATATTGAGATAAATCGGGGTGTGGTTGTAATTTTGAAACAGAGTGTATATATGAATTAAGAAATATTTTTTCTCCATTAAAAAATTTAAAATAATTTTTGGCAGGCATGAATATTATGAAGACTTTGCTGGTTTTGGTAATTTAAATAGTTTTGGTGGGCGTAAATACAAAAATCAGCCGGTAAGTATTAGAAAATTAAATTATAATTAGATATCCTTAATGAGCCGAATCTTTCCACATAAATATAGATACAACAAAAAACTAAGAATATTTGTTAAAAATTTATCCTACTCATTGGGATTGGTGGTTAATTGTAGATTTTTAATTTGCGCTTTTCTGCCAACTCTAATAATTATGTAATTAGTGAAATTTTTATATTACTTTTAAAAAAGATAACTAATAACTAATAATGTTAATATTGACCTAAGTATGTATGAGAGGTGGGTCGAAATTCTGATTTCCGACTTCCGATTTCCGGCGTTTTTCCTTTCGATTTCCGAAAAAAAATTTGATTTACGAGTTCCAACTTTTGAGCCAGTTCCGATTTCCGGCTCTTCCAATTTCTGACATCTCGGACTTTCCGACCCACCTAAGTATGTATGTATATAAAACTTTTAGATAAATAAACGTCCAGTAGTATTTATTCATGGCAATTCTGATGGGGCGTTGGCTGGGCATGGTGGTGATTGGAACAGTGGATGGAGTAAGTCAATTAGTTATTTTATGTCACATGGAGGATATACTACAGCTGAATTATATGCGATAACTTATGGAGTTAGAGATATTACAAAATCTTTGGAAAAGTATTTTTTATTCGATTATTGATACACAGCGAGAGTTAAATAATAAACATTAGCTTTTTTAATTTATTAGGAATAAAAAGATTGTTATTAATAGGGCTGGCAATTGTATTGAAATTTATATTTTTTCCTGAATTGCTTAGGGTCTGAAACGCACGAAAAACACACTTTTCACGCTGTTTGCTTACAAAAATGAGGACTTCCATTTCCATTTTTTCCATATTTTTCCAACTCAAAATGTCTCACTACAAACTAAAAATTTGCTAATGTTCGCGACCAAATTTATTTAATTGTGATTAAAAATTAAAATTTTTATCCATTTTTTCGGGATTTTTTCCATATTTCATCCATAATTTGAAAAATTTCATTTATACTTTATGTGCATATTTTCGATTTTTTTGTCCATATAATAGCCAGCCCTAGTTATTGAGGTTCGTGTCCATCTGGGCCCGTATCATAAGAGCAAGTTGTTAAAACGGTATCATAAGAAGTTGGTCATTTAACCAGGTCATTTAAACCATACCGAGAGGTTTTTTCGTATCATAAGCGCGTCTGGTATTTTTCTTCTTGCTTACCACGAACTCGCTTCTTATGATACCAATCTTACCATCCGGTAAGGGTTAAACAACCACGAACCACGTTCTTATGATACGGGCCCTGGGAGTAAAATTATGAGAAAATAGTGAACTAATTAAATTTTAATATAAAAATTTTTAACAATTGAATGATTTAAAATCAAAATAATTCTTTTATCCAAAAATTATTTTTATAAAGTAAATTAACTTGCGGGACAGCTACAAGGTTGAGAAGATTTGTAAATGCTGTTTTAGAATATACAGGTGCAGAAGAAATAGATATTATTGCTCATTCAATGGGTGTTACTTATGCAAGAATTATTATTCAAGGGAATATGCGGATTTTACACAACGTAAAATTAACGATTTAGGCTAATCCCGGTCCCTTGTCGGGATCGGGGGAAAATTTTTATTTAAAAATTTTATTTTAAAGTGCCAACTTGGAGCCCCTCTAAAAAGTAAAATAAATAAATTTATTGCAATCGCTGGTGCTAACTTTGGGATGTGTATTTGTGCTGATAATGAAGGAGAAACAATTAACGATACAAAAAGAGTTCCAGCTTGCAGTAAAGAAGTATGGGGCTATTTAGTAGGGTGGGCTTTAGTTAGTAGGGTGGGCTTAGATAATCCACCTGAAATCATTATCCATTCAAATCCTTATATTTTCTATAATATCTTGTGTCTCGTATCTCGTGAAATCTCGTTTTTTTGGGAATCTCGTATCTCGTGAATCTCGTGTCTCATATTTTTTGGGACTCGGCCCACCCCTGCTATTTAGTATATAATTTAATTTTAAAAAATTTAAAGTTTGGTTTCTGGGTTGGTCCAAGCTGTCCAAACTATTCAGATGTAAGTCTGTGTAGCGAAAATATTCTTCCCTGTGAAGATAATTCTGGGGATATATTGGCAAAATTGAATTATTCAAGAGATGATGCTAAATATATTGTAATAAATTTACTATATATATTTATTTTTACTTCAAAAATAATTATTTTAGGCAAGTTTTTGGTCAACTAACGACACAATAATAGGCCCAAATAATATGGCATATGGATGGAAAACTTCAATTGTTGAAGGAACAAAAAAAGAAATGAAATATGATGGCCTTACACATTATACATTAAAAACGGATACTGTAAGTGATCAATTGAAAATACTTCAATTAGAAATAGAATTTTGTCCGAAGTTGGAGGATTAAAAATGAATAAAATTAATTTAATTGCCTTAAATGTATTGTGATTTATTAGGATTTGGATATTTAAAAAATATTCTAGACATGTATTTCCGAGGAGGCTTTATCCATCGAATCAGAATATAAAAGGGAATAACTCGAACATAGCCGGAGGACTGCGGATTTTTCTTTTCGGATATTTAGAAATTTTCAGTTGATTTTTTCATCTCCCACAAATTTTTTTTATTATTCACGTGAATTGCTAGTCGACTTTTTTGAAGTCTTTTTATTGGCAGAAATCCAACCCTGGAGTTTAACTATAGGATACCATTCATCCTTTAAAGTAGAGGTGGAAAAGACGAGACTGATACCGAGATTCTCGGATTTTTTCCAATATCGGTCTCAGTTTTTTCATTCTTGTTCTCGAACCCGATACTGAAATCCTCGGTACATTTTTCGGTTTGTACTACGTAAAAATCCTTGGCACGCGTAAATTGGCTTATATGATAAGCTTACCGAAAGATCAGCTTGGGCACTTGTGGTTTACACACTGGTCTGTATTACGGCTAAGCGTTGTTTCCAAAACTTAGTTTCCCGGTAAAGTGCATTCTGGCCTTAAACTCCGTCAAAAATGTTAAAACCCGGATGGAAATTTTTGTATATCCGAAACGGAAGAGTTCAACGGTTTGGTTCATTTCTTAACCGTTAACCCTAAATATGACTCTACAGATAGAAAATTATTGTCCTTCACACTAAACACAATGAGAATAAACAAAACATTATTAAAAATAAATTTAAAGCAAATAAATACATAAAAATCCAAAAATTAATTAATCACATCAATTCCATAGCTGCCCCCCTTCCTCCTCCATTATTTAATTGAAAATCTTGCATTCCCTTCCTTTTTTCTCGAATTAACAAAATTCTTGAAAAATGTGTTAGAAAGCAACCAATACCAAAAATTATAAACATTCCAACAAATAATTTAAAAGCCGTCCCCATACAACTATCAAAAGGTGGCAAGGAATTGGTAAAGTCTGAATTGGCAGAAATTGTTGTAAAAATAATTACAAAGTGAAAGAATACTGAAAATAAAATTTTTTTTTTGGATATTCTAGCAATTTAAAAAAATTTTGGTATAGTACTATGATGAAGATAAAGGTCAAATTAATATAGTGACTTCCGGATATAACACATTCCTTACGCTCGGCATATAGTGCGTAGTTCCCTTCGCATTACGTGCCGTCCGTAAGGAACATGTCAAAGACGATATGTTTTCTACACTAAATCCACATCCGTAAATCATCACAAAACAACAAATGACATCGAGTGTGATCAGTGGGTGAATTTCAGGAAAAAAATTTCAAGAATAAATTATCCGAAGTATCTCAATAAATATTTTTGGAAAATATAAACAAAAAATAAATATTTACAAACATATTATGCCTGTTAAAGCCATTGATATCCTTTTCTCAACTGTTTCACCATCCTTTTGAAATCTATATCTACGGCACATTACCATTGAAGCTCCAATGTCAAATACAAAAAGCAATAATTGTAGAAGTACAAAATAGAAGAGAGATCGATACACTAAATTTGTAAATTTTCTTTGAGTTTTTAGAATATGGCCGTTATATCCCAGAACATAATGCGAAAATGTATTATGTGCCTCATGCACTGGAAATTGTGTAAAAGAATAAAAAGTTCAAGTCCGAGTTCGGTATTTAGAAACCCCAAAGCCCATACTTTACGGATTCTAGATACTAGGCATCTCATTGACAAAATTCCCAAAATTCCGGGATTCCCGACATTCTTTGGATCGGGAATTCCCGATTTTCGAAATCAGTATTCTTGTTTCTATGTCGGTGCAATACCCTTATACATACTAAGCTAATAAGACATATAAAGATTTTAATTTAAGGGTTGCCCTTTAATTAAAACTTCACTTTAAACATTTAATTCAAATATACCTACTTCCACTAAGCCTTTCAATTTGGACAGCATTCAAGTTAAAACCTGACCAAAACTTTTCTCTATTTTCCAAAGGATCGTTCCATCTTGTACAACGAATTTTTGCGTTAACATTTTCATAAACACAATCACTCCCGGAAATACCCCTCTAAAATTTTTTTTTGAATTTTTAAGAATTTTCTTCAAAATTAACAATTATAGTCATTTGGCTTCCATCTCTTTCCAAATGAATCCAATCATTAAAAGGCAAAACAAAAATTGTAACACCCATTGCTACCAATTCTTTAAGGGAATAATTTAGAAAATATTTTTAAGAATTTTAAATTCTTACTGAACATTGTGGAAATTGTGAGGCACCAAAAGCTGATCTGATATGTATATTAAAAATAAAGCCGAAAAAATTCACGTCAATTCTTAAAGTTTATAGGCATGTTTAGGGAAAGCGCCGCGTTTAAAACGAAAATGGTCGAACTCAGAAAATCGAAAATTAAGTGAAATTAAATAATTCATTAATCAGCCAAATTTTTTAGCATTAAAAAATAATATTTATGCACAAAACAAAGAACTTTTTGTGATTTATAAGAAACAATGACATCTGACTCTTATATCATTTAATTCCTAAGATCCTCCGCAAATATGGTTCCTCAAATTTATAAATATATTTCATAGAGACTTACATGACTCTTGGTCTTGAGTCATGATTTCAAGACTTTTCTTGGATATTTTTTCGGTCTTGGTCTTGGGTCTTGGAAGTCTCTACTATTTTAAATAATTTATTTTAAAAACATCCAATAAAAATCAGAGTTTTGGATTAATATATTATTCAAATTTCATTGTTCCTATTCCAGGCTCATAGCTTAAATGTGCATGTTTCTCTCAACTTACACATAACACCTAGGAATTTATTTATTAATTTCACTAGATTCATATTACACATTTTGCGCAAGAGGGGAGATATTAATACATAATAATTATATTTATATATTTTTGTGGCCACCTGATCAAGAGGTTCAACAGATTCTATAGATGCAATGTCGTCCATTTAATTAATTTTATTATTTCATTTCAAAATTATTAAAATATTTTTTCATTAATTAAACTTAAAGTTATTTTTAGAAATATTTAGAAGGAAAAATCATAAAAAAATTAAAATTATTATATTAATCAAAAAAATTATTTATCGAAAAAATAGAAATCAATTTATATTGATTTAAAAAAGAATTTAAAGTCGCCTTCCTCCCTTTTTAAGACGGCTGGCAATAAAGAAAAAATGGGTGCGCAGAATAAAGGTAAAATGGTAGAGAGATAATTGAGATATGTAAAAGATTTTGTTTCTCAATTTTAAACTAGAAGAAAGTCAAGTACTAAAATGAGAAGAAAAATAAATGGTTCGGTCGCCAAGTGAACGTAACTAAACGTCCTTCAAGCAGAGCAAGTCACCTTTCTCCCCCTTCCTTTCCTTCTGCCCTTCAAATAAATACAAAACCTTGCTTAAAAATATAAGGTCGAGAATTTCTTTCTTTTTCCTTTTTTCATATTTTCTTATCATCGACAACATCTTAGTCATCAATTAGGGGGATTATTCATCAGGGCAATTGATTTATAAATATTAATTTTATTAAAACTTTAAAATTAATTTAAATTATTGTAAGGAAGAAGTAAAAACCAGATTAAAGGAGGAAATGAAAGCAGTGCCAAGATCCGGAACAAAAAATTTTCCTATGCCGAATAAAAGGAAATTAAGAGGATTTCTAGGAAATTAAGAGGATTTGAGATAATACAAAGGATATCAGTGATTTGGAGGGATATATGTATACATGCAGGAAATCTCGTGTCTTCTATTTTACACAAAGCATTGTTTGGAACTCCCTAGTAAAAACACTGGTTTGACTCAAAAATGGCATCTCTATCTACAACAATAAATTCGGAAATAAAAATTTGAAAATGGATTTTTAAATTCTGAAATAAAGAAATATTTTTTGGCACTTTCTTCTCTTTTATTTAAGAATAAAAACAAATCCCAAGAGAAAGAATTGTTTTTGAAAGTAAATCCAAAAGATGATTAGTACACAAGGACATAAAGAAAAGTTTTCTCTTGCAAAAAAGCCGGAAATTCTAAAAAAAGAGGAAAATTTTAAAAATTTATTTTTTATTTTATAAAAATTATTTTTTAATAAAAATTGGATTTTAGAATTTTAGAAAATATCCATTGGATTTTTGAAAATATACACGGTTGGATTTTAGAAAAATATACACGAAAAATGAGAGATAAAGGAGCCGAAAATAATTATGGGGTGCCTGAAATATTTGCAAAAAATTTTTAATAAAAAGAATGTCAAAAATTATCAAAATTATGTCAAAAATTATGTTAAAAATCGTGTTAAATTTTTAACAGAAAAAAAATTTTTTAAACATTTCCAGTCATTTTTACTTTAAATTGGAGAGAAAAATATTTTTAAATAAACGATTTATTTTGATTAATCATTGTAAATGACTAATAAACACATAAATTCATTAATCTCTATGTATAATGGATTTATAGGGGAAATAAATAAAAATAAATTTATTTAAAAAATAAAAAATAAATATACCTAATTTTGAAAATTAAAAAAAATTTTTTAATAACACTTTTTTCGTAATAATCAAATTTGATATAGGTAAGTAAATATCAGAGGTGGGTCGGAATTCCGATTTCCGACGTTTTTTTCTTTCCGATTTCTGAAAAAATTTTTGGAAAAAATTTTGATTTCCGATTTCCGACTTTTGAACTAGAAAAATTTTCGGCTCTTCCGATTTCCGATACCTCTGATTGTTTCGACCAACTCTGTTATATATAAATGTAGGTTTTTCCGACCTCGATTCTCTCCCCCAACGAGCCGACAACAACCTTTCCATTAAAAGGTTTCCAAAAAAATTATTAAATAATTTAAATTTAAAATTTAATTTGAATAAAATTATTTAAAAAAATTGATTTTTGACATTGAAAAAATTTTTATTCAGCTGACTTTTAATCAATGCCAAAAGTCATGCCTTAAAGGGCAGATTTTTGGCCGGCTATTAAAAAATATTTTTCCATTGTCTTCGTAGGGGGAGAGAGGGGGAATAAAATTTTAGACAAAGGAAGCATATGATTTTGGGCATGACTGAAGAAATTTTTTCACTTGACAGTCTCGCCTAGACATTCCCATTTAAAAATTCAACGGAATGGGAGGAGTTGAAAAATCTAGTCTTTATAAAGTGGACAATCAGAAGACATAATGAAGACAGTAAAAAGTCAAAACCTCTTAACATGTCTAAAACCAGCATAAAAAATAAAAAACCGCCTAAACAGTTTGTGAAGTCAAAAGCCTTTATATCTTTTATATCGTTGGGTTTCCTTTTAATTAAATTTTTTAAAGCTTTTGCTTTTAAACATACTTTAGACAGTTGAGTGTTAAAGGTAGTTGAACACTTGCCTAATCAATTTCCGAATCAGAAGAAAAAGAAAACTGCTCCGCTCCGATATGAATATTAACTCAAAAATCCGGATTCTGGATTCGGAAAAATGATTTTGCCGAGCATTTATAAAAATTATTTACAATATTTGACATAAATGTAAACAATAAAAATGATACATGCTTTTTCAGTCTGTATAATATCCAATAGAAAGCTTTTACAGTGCTTCTATTGGAGGGTGTGCTTCTACTAGAGAATTATCGCTACTTTAAATCCCTTAATCTCAATCACTTAAAATCCTCTGATATCCCCGAATCTACACGTAGAAGAATTTTCATATGAAAATTTGGGATTAATTAATTTATTATTTTTTAGAAAAAATTTTTAAATTAAAATAGTTACATATTTTAATTTAAAAATTAAAATGAAGAAAACAATTTTTGTTTATTTACTTCTAAAGCTAATTTTGCCTGCAACAATTGCGGCTAATGATGAACTGACTGCTGATGAAAATGAATTAGCTTTAGAACTTGAGAATTTAGAGCATGAGGTTTTAGAACATAAAACTTTGGAACATGAGGATTTAGAACAAAAGTTGATTGACAGCCATGCTAAAATTGCTCGTCTTGGTAATTATTTAAATAAATAAATTTTAAAAAAAGAAATTTTATAATTAATTTTTAAAATTCAGAAAACGTTCAATTTTACATTCCCGATCAAACACCTGTGGAAGAAATAAATTCAATTATATTTAGTAACTCAAAAGATGTAATAAGCCTTTCCGAAAAATCGAAAAATTTTCAACAATTAATTTACTGTATTGAAAATGTATTATTCAACAAAAATTATGAAAAGAAATTGTTGGATTTATTTTTTCTATTAAAAACAAAAAATAAAATCAAAATAAATTTAAATAATTTTAAAAATATTAAATCGTTGAAGCACTTTAAAAATGAATTGAAGCGAACATTAAAAAAGAAAAATCGTATCATGATTCGGAATTTGGTATGTAAATTGTTTTGTTATTATTATAATTAGGGAGTGGCAAAATATGCACGGAAAATCCCAAAATATGCGCATATATATGCACCGAAAAAGCCCAAAATATGCATCAAAATATGCCAAATTTGCCGAAATATGCACTAAATATGCAGCGAAAATAACGAAAATGTGCTTTAAAATTCAATATTTCAAGTAAAAAATACAAATTTAGCATTTAAATTGCATTTTAAGATCACTTCTTAAAGATTTTATTAACTTTTTATTCAACCAAAGAAATTTTTTTGAAAAAAAATTTTCCCGAAAAATTTTTCGAAAAAATTTTTTCTACAAATTTTTATCAAAAATTTTTTGCTCAAAAAATTTCAAAATTTTGAAAATTTTGCTCGATTTTTACTAAATTTATCAAAAAATGCCAAAATATGCACAAATTTTGGCAAAAATATGCAAAATTTCCCAGAATATGCATCGATATGCAAATATGCACTGAAATACCGAAATATGCAAAAATATGCTATCGGAACCCGGTCCCTAATGTTCGTACCGACGTAAAAACACCATTTTTGTGCGTTTCAGCTCATGGCATATCCGCATACAAAATATGCATTTGCATGTTTTGCCACTCCCTAGTTATTATTATAATTTTCATGCTGTGGAAAAATTCATTGGATGGGAGATGGAATAGAACCATCATGGAAAGGGCCCAAACCGAAAGAACAACCGACTGTGTCACCATCAAACCCGGTGCAGGGTTATTTATTTTTATTATATTCTTTCTGCAAGTGCGGAAACACCAATTATAAAATATTTTTTATGACCGACATCTCTAATCGGAATCCCGTTAACCCCGTCATTATTATATATTATATATAATATATATTATTATACCATCATGGAAAGAATC